TTGCGCATATATCTCCTTCAAGGCAAAGTGAGATATGTGATAATGAAGCTCTCCAAACAATGACATATTGCCATTATGATGAATATTAGTTTTCTCACTTGAGAGTTTTACTTTAATCTCATTAAATTCATGCTCAACTGCAAGACATATTTTCTCTTTAACTTCCCTCAAATCTCCCATAGAAACTTGCAAATATTGTTTAAGTTTGGCATGAGCACCTTCAGCTCTTGATGACGATCGATTGCCAAAATGCAAGTACTTATCGGTCCAAACACTAACAAACTTTTCTTTCCAAGGCAACCATATGTTTTTTATGTACTCAATCACATCTTTCTTCTCTTTATGCATTGATGCAAATTCATACCAATTTTCCTCAAAGAGAGCTTCCATTGTCGAATATACCACATTATTCCAACCAGACATAAAAATATTGAACTCTTCGGTACATTCAAAATACTTCTTGCAATTTGCCAATACATATATTTATTGGTTTTGTAGGTCCAATCCATCAAAAATACGTTTGAGAAGGCTTTGGCCAATTTAATCGACAAAGGGTGTGCAATGAAAAACGAGTTATACGCCCCTCCACATTATGTGAAATATCATAAGTAAAACCATCTTCGTTAAGCTCCTCAAATAATGCATTGATCATGGGCCGATTCCTTAAATTTTCCCTTCAAAATTTTCTCTTCACGTTGTATATATTTCTAGAGATTACTTGTAACACCCAATTCCTGGTACGTATTTAAATTCAAGTAATGTTGCAATTTACTCTGGGACTCGGCGAGTTGGAGGCCCAACTCGTCGAGTAGACTTGACGTTTGATCGGGGTTTTAAGTGACCTACTCGACGAGTCGGAAGACTGACTCGACGAGTAGGACTGTCTGGATGAAAACCCTAATATTTGGGTTTGCACCCTATTTAAGCACCTTATAACACCCCAACCCAGCCCCCATTGTCCCTCCCAACCTAGAGAAAACCCTAACTCGAAACCCTAGCCATTTATTGAGTGTTCTTAAGCTTTGTGGTGCCATTTTTGTGTGATTGAAGTTTAATAAGGAGAAGGAAGCTTGTGAGATCAAGAGGAAGCAAGAAGATCCAGAGTTTTGGGCACATTTCCAGCTTATTTGACGTATAAAGCTGAAATCTTGGCTATTCATTGCTTAGATCTTGATTTGGGGCTATTTTCTATATCTTTCTAAGCATTAGTGAAGTTATATTCGGGATTGGGTGTAGAAGTGAGTTTGTGCTTCAGATCTGTAACCATTGAGGTTCCCATGGCATAAAGGTGCCAACTTTATGGCCATGGGAGACCCATGCATCTTGTATACCTCTTTTTATGGCTTTTTGAGCCAAAGGCCCCATGCATGTACATCAAGTTCGAAGTTGTACGTATAAAATGGACCTTAGGAGGCTAGATCTATGGTTTTGATGCGTTAAGACCCATTATAATCGACTGTATGGTTTTGGACAAAGAGGGACTCAATGAGTAGTTCATGGGACTCGGCGAGTCGGGGTGTATTTTCCATCAAATCCTTTCTGTTATGGACCAGATATTAAGATTAAAGGTTCCCCAGTTGGTTAGGTTCACTAGGGACCTGGAAATCATAGGACTCGACGAGTAGATGAACAGACTCGACGAGTTCAAGGCAATATCCCAGCTACATGAAGATAGACTCGGTGAGTTCAAGGAGAACTCGGCAAGTCATAGACTGAGCACCTTCTTATGGATGAAGATGAACTCGACGACTTCAAGGACGAACTCGGCGAGTTGTTTGAAGATAGTCCGATGTGTTGTTGAAGGCGAACTCGTCGAGCTCTTGCTAGACTCGACGAGTAGGGAAAGGATTATGGCATTTGTGGATATGGGGACTCGACGAGTTGGCGGGCCAACTTGGCGAGTCAAGTCAACCAGATGTTGACTTTGACCAAAAGTTGACTTTGACCAAGGATTTGACTTTGACTTTGACTTGGCTTTGAGTGACTCTTGTAAGGGTTATGAGTATGAATTGTTAACTTAGAAAAGTTGTCGTGTAGGGATTGAGGAGTCAGGGAGAGTCGATTTTCACATCGAGGACAGTACAGATACTACACGACGTTGAGGTGAGTTACCTTCCAGTAGAAGTGGGTCTAAGGCACCAAGGCCGACCCACTAGTAGTTGATAATAATTTGGATGATTGTCTTTGTGATAATTGTCTGGTTTGGTATTACTTGATGTGTATTATGTGCCAGTATGATATGTTCTATGTGATAGTGGTAGTAGGAGGGGAATAGTCCCCCGATTCGGTCGTTAGGACCAAAGGGTGGGTCGAACACCCCAGAAATGTCTGACAGCATGTTTATGATATGTTATTATGTGATAGTATTAGGGGGTGAAATAGTCCTCGTGACCGGGTGAGATAGACCGGAGGGTAGACAGGGACCCTAGAATGGCCTGACACGGGTAGGTCAGCACCCCATAATGGCTTGACATGGGTAGGTTAGCACCCCATAATGGCTTGACATGGGTAGGTCGGGCACCCCAGAATTGACCGACAGTATGTATGATTGTACGGTATGTGGTATGATGGGGGAACTCACTAAGCTTCGTGCTTACAATTTTAGTTTTGGTTTCAGGTACCTCTTCAACTAAGGGGAAGGAGCCGGCGGAGTAGCAGCCCATCACACACACACATGATCTCCGCTAGAGAACCCTGGGATTGTACTATGATATTTTACTATTTGATGTTATGGTTTTTGAGACTTGTGATTTGTGACTTGATGTTGAAATGATAACAATGATGTTTTCCGTAAACGATTTTCATAAGTAATATAATTAAGCAAAAAATTCTGGGTCTCGAATTTGGGATGTTACATTACTGGTATATTTGGGCCTGTTGACGCAAAGATGATAGAATTTGTCTAGGAGGAATCCCGGCCTTGGTCATTTCTTTGACACTTTTTATGCTTTCCAATGGTAATTGGCGAAACGATTGATGTCCGGAGATGTCCGTAGACGGCCCATAGTTATGTGTCAAGTCCTTTACGTCAAATATCCAAGAACCATCACTACACCTTTTGCCCAAAATCTTAAAAGGACAGTTGATCAAACGAGATCCGATAGTTTTTTTTCGTTTACCTGAAATACCTCATATATCTTGATATAAACCACCTCTATCACAATGCAAAATCACGTGCTTGTGTTTTCTTGAACCACGAATAGATATTCCATAGCCTTTAGAATAATAAAATTTTCGCACTCTCCAATAAATCATCACACGAATCAAATTTCGAAGTAGTTAAATATTTTTTTTCACTCGGTGGCATAGAAGTAGTTGATTCCATTGAACTCATATGTGTTACAAAATTGCAAACAAATTCAAAAATCATTAAAAAATAATCAGTGACAAACTAGAAAATGTAGTCTAATGAAGTTAACTAACAACATAAACTAGAAAATGTAGTCTAATGAAGTTAACTAACAACATAAACATTAGTATGATAAGTTGATAGATTAAAGTGTATATTTATATTCTTGATTAACATTGAATTTTAGCGTTATAGAAAGTAAGGCATCAAGACAAATAGTATGTTATTTGATGAAATTAGTGGAAAAAGAAAGGATATAACATTCATTATTTTTTTTGGACGAGTAAGGATGAAATTAAGGTATAGGGTATTTGCTATTATAAATATACAAGCATAATAATAATAGAAGTGACGACAGTACAGTGATGCAAACAATTGATTTTTTTCAATTGCGAACAACAAACAGTTGATTTGATTTTTTCAATTGCAAATCACAAAATTTGTAATTATAATAGCATCGACGACAGTGGTGTAAACAAGAATTGAATATAAAATCGCAATATCATAAATGAATATAAAATCATAAATCAAAGAAATAAAGTCGTAATATAAAATCACTAACCAGTAATAGTGGAGCAAGCCACCGACGGAGGTCGAGCAGTTGACGACGACAATAGATCAGGCGGCGATGTGGTGAAGCAAACCGGAGATGGAAAGTAAACAACGATCGATAGTGGGAAGCGAATACTGGTTTCCTTGTTTTCGTATAAAGTTTGTACAAAAAATTGAATATTTGAAAGGGTTTTAGATTAGAGGGGACAGATTATAAAGTTTGTACAAAAAATTGTGAGTATGCGCTCCCAATTAATATGTTTTTTGTACTACCCTCCGAAGGTTCTTTTTGGAATTTCCTTGGTTTTTTTTTTTGGACCAATCATCGCCTCTAAAAACATTTTGTACAAAATCCCTGACATTACCAAATTTGCAATTAAAATGCAACCCAGAAGCGGGATTTACAGACGCATAAAATCAAATCGAGTTCTTCACTTCAGGTCCGTCGCTGCGTTCCCTTGCCTCCGTCCGACGTCCACCCTCGTTCAGTCGATCATCTCCTCCAGAAGCACCGGCGACAACTAGCCTCCGACGTCTCAGGTAAACCAATCGTCAATCGCTAACTACTCTTTTAT